CTGTACAGCCCAGGCTGGCCTCATTCAAAGCCTATCCTTCCCAATGCTGAGATCACAGGCAGGAGCTACCAAGTCTACTATGTCGTAGTATGATGTGATTTTTTTTTTTTTCAGCCTGCCTTGAACTTACTATACAGTCAAGGGTGACCTTAATCTCCTGATCTTCCTGCCTCCATCTCCTGGGTGTTAGGACTACAGGCGTGCACCTCCATATCCAGTTAATAAGGTGCTGGCAATTGAACCCAGGGCTTGGTGCATGCCAGGCAAGCACTTGACAAATGAGTACACCCCCAGCCCCGTGATAAGACAACATAAAAAGCACGTGTCCTGGAGGAATCGGAGCCTTCCCCTACGTATCCAGTAATCCAAAACAAGCCCTTCCCCTATGTATCCAGTAATCCAAAACAAGCCTCCCAAGTTCCAAGTCCAGAAAAAACAAGTCAAAGCTGTGACTCACACAGAGCCAGATTTCTTAGCTGTGAAATCACTCAAGTAGTCAAGAAGTAAAAACTGTGTGTGTGTGTGTGTGTGTGTGTGTGTGTGTGTGTGTGTGTGTGTGTGTGTTTGAGAGAGAGAGAGAGAGAGAGAATATTACATGATGGTGTGTGTTTACATGCAGGGCAGAGGGGCTGGGGCTTACAGGTACATAGGGATCATGCCCAGCTCTTTGCTTGAGTTCCGGGGATTTGAACTCAGATCCTCAAGCTTGTACACCAAGCCTTCTTACCCACTGAGTCAACTTCTTAGCCCTGCCCCTGCCTTTGTGAATCTTTTTTCTTCCTCTCTTTATTTTTTCTTTTATTTTTTTCCCTCCCTTGATCCTCCCTTTTGCTCTTCTTTTTAAGGCTGAAGGGTGTTTTCTTAGAGGGGAAAGTTACTTTAAAAACAATACACAGAACAGTCATTTTTCTGTTAATGAAAAAAACTGATAAATTTTATTTCTTATTCAGTTTTATATATGTGGGTGTTTTGCCTGCATGTATGTCCGTGCACCGTGTGTATGTAGTGCACACAGAGACCAGAAGACGGTGTCAGATCCCCTGGGACTGGAGTTACAGCTGGTTGTCAGACACCATGTGGGTGGTGGGACTCGAACCCAGGTCCACTGGAAGAACAGCCAGTGCTCTTAACTGCTGAGCCATCTCTCCAGCCCTGAAAAAAAGAATTTTTTTTAAACTAAGCTGAGCCCAGCATGTAGGAGGCTAAGACATGAGCGACGGTAGCAAGTGTAAGGCTAGTCTGGACTACGGAGTAAGACTGTGTCAAACCACCAAAGCAAAACAAAAGCTGAGATATTAAAGTGGTATCCAGGGGTAGACATGTGGTGGTTCCGGCCTGTAATCCCAGCACTAGAGAGGTAGAAGTTGAAGGATCAGAAGTTCAAGGTCATTTTCAGTTCCACAGTGAATTCAAGGCCAGTCAGAAGTTGTACACCAGCCTACCTGGCTATGGCCAAGTATTAAGAGGAAAAGTATGCCGGGCGGTGGTGGCACACGCCTTTAATCCCAGCACTCGAGAGGCAGAGGCAGGTAGATATCTATGAGTTCGAGGCCAGCCTGGTCTACAGAGCGAGATCCAGGACAGCCAGGGACATACAGAGAGAAACCCTGTCTCGAGAAACAAAAAAGAAAAAAAAAAAAAGAGGAAAAGTACAAGAGCTTGTGAAAATGTAAACACACCCCATAAAATCCTAATCTCTCTTTATCTCCTGTCCATAAACACTAAACTACTGATGGACTCTAGATTCTTCCTCACTTAAAATTCCATTCCCTGAATTGCTGTTTCGTTTTCTCAAGGTTGTTAATTTCAATTCACTTTCTTACACCAAAATGATGACAACTGAACCTTGTATCCCAGGCTACCCTCCAACTCTTGCTCCTGCAGCCGCTACCTACCTCCAAAGTTCTAGGACTACAGCCATGCCCCACAATACCTGGTCATCTGAACCATTTTAAATGACAAAATATGGTGTCTGTAAATGTTTACAAGGAAAATCTAGAAAGAAAATATTGGCATGCCTTGAAGTTGGGTCTATGTAGCTCTGTATAGAGAATCTGAGGAGCATGTGTGAGGCCCCAATTTCAACTCCTAATACTGCCCCCCCCAAAATGGTATACTTAAATTATGCAAGGGACAGTAGAGAAAGAAAATTTCATTGACAGGTAAGGGCTAAGTGACTTTAAAATCAACTCCTTTCAACTAGTAAGGCAGGCAAACCTGTGTGACCATCTCAAATGCAAAGAATACATCAAGAGGGGACACACTTATCAACACAGTCACTTTTGATGACAGGTCTAGTGTCTTGCTTACATAACTGCTTGCAGTTAGCTAGATGGCAGCTCATCTCTACACAACCATAAGTTGCACAACACATATCCACTGCACATGTATGGGTGGTGGTTTTTAAATAACCAGAACAAACCTCCAAACAAGAGAGAGGTGCCTTTGTAATGCATCATGGAATGAAAGAGAAACAGAGCCAACCACCAGGGCACAGGCCTGTAATCACAACTCCAGAGGCAGGCTAGTTCAAGAGCCTGGTTGTGTTTTGAGTTCCAGACCAGCCAGGACTATATAGCAAGATCCTGTCTCATAAAAACACAAACAAAGAATTAGAAGAAACAAACAACCCAAGAAAGTAACAGAAATGTAATACAGCAAACAGACTATTGTAGCACTAATCTTAAATGGTCTTATTAATAAAGTCAAACCTGGGGCAGGTATTGGGGTGACTGCTGGAAAATCAGAGAAGCAGAACAAGCCACAGCCACCTCACCTTGCCAATTCCTCAGCTGATCCTGCTTCCTCAGACTGGATGCCTCTCAGCTGAACTGTGTTGCTCCAAAGCCTAAAAGCTTAACCAGGCCAAAAGCTTCTAGTTTCTGGTCCTCACGCCTAATATACCTTTCTGCTTTCTGCCTCACTCCCTGGGATTAAAGGCTCACTTTCTGGGATTAAAGGCGTGTCACCATGCCTGGCTGTTTCGAATGTGGCCTTGAACTCACAGAGATCCAGAGGGATTTCTACCTCTGGAATGCTAGGATTAAAGGCATGTGCTACCACTGCCTATCCTCTATGTTTAATATTGTGGCTGTTCTCTTCTCTGACCCCATATCAGTTTATTAGCATGCACACTATTTTGGGGAACACGATACCACCACAGACTGTTTCTTTCTTTGGGCAGTGGTCAGGCCAGAGGTCTGTTCCCATCACTGAAGCCACATAAGTCACTGCCAATGCCTAAAGCTCAGAAGTGAGAGCAGTAAGCTCCACCTGTGGCAGAGGCTTCTGCTTCTCTGCTGATATCCCAATCATTCCTTCCTTCTCAACAGCACAAACCCCATTTTATTGAGGGTAGTCATATATCTAGTATGCTTCCTTGAAGCCTGAGCTTTGGTTCAGGAGTCTTCAGAGAGACAGAACGCATTTTTCTTCGTCTTTACTTTGCTGCCTGGAACCCCACTGTGACAGTGGAGGTCTGGCAGCCATCTTTGATTTTGAGAACTATGGGAATCTTAGAGGCAACAGACCAAGAACTAGAGGTTAGGTCTCTCAGACTACTTTATGAAGCCACTCTGCCTATCCTGAACTATGGAGCTGGAGAGAGAGTTCAGCCCTAAGAGTACTGGCTGCTCTTCCAGAGAACCTAAGTTCAGCTCCCAGCATCCATATGGCTGTTCACAACCACCTGTAACTCCAGTTCCAGGGGATATGACACCCTCCTCTGGTCTCTGAGGGCACCAGACACACACGTGGTGCACAGACATAAACGCAGGCAAAACACACATACTCATACAATAAAAAAAAAAATTAAGCTGGAGAGATGGCTCAGAGGTTAAGAGCACCGACTGCTCTTCCAGAGGTCCTGAGTTCAATTCCCAGCAACCACATGGTGGCTCACAACCATCTGTAATGAGATCTGGCGCCCTCTTCTGTATACATAATAAATAAATAAATCTTTAAAAAAAAAAAAAAAAAAGGGCTGGAGAGATGGCTCAGAGGTTAAGAGCACTGACTGCTCTTTCAGAGGTCCTGAGTTCAATTCCCAGCAACCACATGGTGGCTCACAACCATCTGTAGTGAGATCTGGTGCTCTCTTCTGGCCTGCAGGGATACATGCTGTATACATAATAAATAAATAAATAAATAGACCTTTAAAAAAAAAAAAAAAAAAAATTAAAATTGAAAAACAGAATTATTTTATGGACTAGAGAGATGGCTCAGTTCTTAAGAGCACACACAACTCTTGACCCAGGTTCCATTCTCAGCACCTATGTTGGGGGGTTCACAATCATCGCAACTGCTGTTCCATGGGGATCAGATTCCTCTGGCCTCTGAGAGCACTCATGGGAGCACACATAAGAGTACACACACACAGTAAATTCATTCATTCATTCATTCATTCATTAAATCTTAAAAAAAATAATTACTTTAAGCCAGATGTGGTGCTGAATGCTTATGATCCCATCCCACAGGAGGCTATGACAGGAGAATTGCTGTCAGCTCAAGGCCAACCTGGGCTACATAGTGAGACTCAGTCTTTACTTCCTCTCCCCCTCCCCCCACCCCAATAAAGACAATTATTTTAAATGAGAAAATAAATTTTGTGTGTTTAAGCCACCACTGTGTCTGGGTTGTTTTGTTTTAGTGTTGTTTGGGGGGGGGGGGTTGCTTTTGGTTTTTATTTCTATTTATTTATTTATTTTTGGTTTTTCAAGACAGGGTTTCTGTGTAGCTTTGGCTGTCCTGGAACTCGCTCTGTAGACCAGACTAGCCTTGAACTCACAGAGATCAGCCTGCCTCTGCCTCCCAAGTGCTGGGATTAAAGGTGTGCATCACCACCACCACCACCACCACCACCGCCACCGCCACCGCCGCCGCCGCCGCTACCAGGGTTCTATTATGTCTGTTTTATGGTTTTCTTCCCTGTGTTTTATTACTGTTAGTGGTGACAGCTGTTTTTGTTTGTCACGGAAGGCAATTCTTCACTGAACACTTACCTTCAGACAGGCTAGAGGTTTTATCTTTTTTTTTTCTTCTTTTTTTCACAGATGAGGCCACTGAGATCTCAAGTGGTAAGATGATCTACACGATATTAAGTTTGTGGAGAACAGGTCTTGGCTCCTGGCCCAATTTTTTTCCCTTCGAAAACTGACTCTTGGATTCTAAATGGAGAGAGGGAGATTAAATATAATAATGAATTATAAATGTATCCTTATTTAGTGGGAATAGTTTGCAAGAATGTATGCTATTATATACACAGTATACAATTAATAGGAAGGAAAAGTATCAAATTAGCAGAGCCTGATGGTGCACACCTTTAATCCCAGCACTGGAGCAGAGGCAGGAGAATCTCTGTGAGTTTGAGGCCAGCCTGGTCTACATAGAGAGTTACAGAATAGCCAGGGCTATAAAGAGAGATCCTCGAAAAATGGAAAAAAAAAAAAAAAGGAAGAAAGAGAGATTGGAAGGGGAAGGAAGGAAGGGAGGGAGGGAGGGAGGGAGGGAGGGAGGGAAAAAGAGAGAGTGGTATCACATTTTTATGACCTGTCAGTTTACTGGTAAAACAAACATTCAAAGGCCAGAACAAACAGATCCTGTTTACAACAACTGAATTGCACCACAGTGGACAGAACTCAGGGTAAGAGCATTTGTTTTTCTCAGCAAAGACAGACTGACATACACTGTGGTGGTCTGAATGAGAATGGCTACCATAGGTTCATATATTTAAATGCTTTGGGAGTGGTACATTTGAAAGGATTAGGAGGTGTGGCCTTATTGGTGGAAGTGTGTCACTGTTTTTTGGATTTATTTTAATGTATTTGTTTTTATTCTATGTGTATGTGTGAGTTCCTGAGTGTAGGTATGCATGTGCACCACCTGCATTCCGGGTGGTCCTGGAGACCAGAATTGGAGTTATAGGTGATTGGGAGCCATGATGAGGACAAAATCCAGGTCCCCTGCAAGAGCCCCGGGTATTCTTCATCTCAAGCCATCTCTCCAGCCCCAAGGACAACTTGTTCTGTTAAGTCCTTAGCTGGGAAGCCAGGTATGGTGCTACACACCTGTTGATCCAGCATGAGGGAGAAATCAGGAGGACCAGGGCTGTTTTTGGCTATACAGTGAGTCTGAGGCTAGTCTGGGCAAAATGAGACTGTCTCAAAAAACAAACAAACAAACAAACAAATAAATAAATAACATTTTTTTTTACTTCTATTGATTCTTTGAGGTTTTTACATAATACATCCTGTTCCCGTCCATCTCCCCCAAACCCCAAATCTGCCCTTCACTCTCTTGCAACCTCGCCCCCCAAAACAAGATTTAAAAGAAAAACTAAAAAACCAAGCCAGACAAACAAAACAAACCATAGCAAAACAAGAAAGAAGGAGGGGGAGGGAAGGAGAAGAATTTCATCATGGAAGGATTAACAAATTTTTAACTTAAATATTCCTTTATGCTTACTACTACCTCAAACCAATTAAGTTGGAGATGGTAAGATGGCTTAGTGGGTAAAGGCACTCGCCACCAAGCTTGACACGTCTGAGACCCAGAACCCAAATGGTATAGGAAGAGAACTGACTTCTGAAAGCTGTCCTCTGACCTTCCACATACATGCCGTGGTGGACACACACAAAAATAAATACTAAAAACATTTTAACTAACTTGATCCCAGTTGGTCACAGATGTGCTCTTGTTATTATATTATTATATTTTATGTGTTTGTACCTACTTATCTGTATGTGCGCCATGTGCATGCAGGTGCCTGTGAAGCCAGAAGAGAGTGTCAGAGCCTAACCATAAAACTGAATTAAGGGTTGGAGAGAAGGCTCAGAGGTTAAGAACACTGGCTGCTCTTCCAGAGGTCCTGAGTTCAATTCCCAGCACCCACATGATGGCTCACAGCCATCTATAATGAGATCTGGTGCCCTCTCCTGGCATGCAGGCATACATGGAGGCAGAATGTTGTATACATAACAAATAAATAAATCTCTAAAGAAAAAAAAAAGCCATGTGCAATAAAAAAAAAAACTGAATTAAGCTGGACATGATGGCTACTACCTGTAATCCCAGAATCCAGGAGGGCAAGGCAGGAGGATTGCCTTAAGTTTGAAGCCAACCTAGACTACATAGTGAGTTCCAGGACAGCCTGGGCTACATGAAACTTGTCTTTAAAATTTAAATAAATTTTATCTTATTAAATTTTATTAATAAAATATAAATTATTTTCAGCACATTTTAATTTTTTAAATTTTTATTCGTGTATGTGTGTGAATGTGTGTGTGTGTGTATGTGCCTGATGTGTGTGTGTGCCTGGTGTGTGAGTGTGCCTGGAGAGGCCAGAAAAGGGTGTCAGATCTCCTGGACTGAAGTTAAAAGTGGCTGTGAACTGCTGGACATGGGTCCTGGAACCCAATACAATCCTCTGGAAAGGTGAGCATTCTCAACTGCTGAGCCAGCTATCTGGCACACATAATATCATTTTTAAGAATTTTTTTAATTTTTATTTATTTATATATTTATTTCATGTATGTGGACATAAGCTCCATGACATTCAAATAGAAGTCAGAGAACAACCTGGAGAAGTTGGCTCTCTTCTTCAACTTTGACATGGTTATGGGGATTGAACTCAGATCATCAGGCTTGGCAGCAAGCACTTTTACCCTCAGATACATCTTGCCAGACCTTCAATATATTTAAAAAACTGGCACTTGATCCTTCCAGCTCCCAAATACTCAAAGAGATATTTTGCAGACACCAACCACTAAAAGGGTCCTTAGGAAATAGGACACAATTTTAACATATATTATTCTACCATTTGGCTGCAGAGACACACAAAACATATCCTAAAACAAAGACACTAGAATTAATGCCCATAATTAATGACTACTGATTTGAAAACTGTCTTAACTGCCTTCTTGTGATTTCATTTCAATTTGTATTTAGTGAACACAAACCAACTTGGCAAACAGCATGCTGAAAGCTGGGCTTGGTGTACACATCTGTAACCTGAGCACTCAGGAGACTGAGACTGCAGAATTTCGGTAAGATTCAGCCAGGCCAACCTGGGCTACATATGGGGTCTGAGTCTATCCTTTTTTTTTTTTTTTTTTTTCGAGACAGGGTTTCTCTGCGTAGCTTTGCGCCTTTCCTGAAACTCACTTGGTAGCCCAGGCTGGCCTCGAACTCACAGAGATCCGCCTAGCTCTGCCTCCTGAGTGCTGGGATTAAAGGCGTGGGCCACCACCGCCCGGCTTCTATCTTAAACAAACAAACAAAACAAAAAGTATACTGAAAGAATACAAGTTGTTTGAGTGGTTGGAGAGATGGAGGTTGGGGAAATAGGGGTTAAGGAGATGGCTGTCAATAAACTGCCACGTAAGCACAGGACCTGAGTTTGGATCCCAAGCGCCCACACAAAAAGCCAGTCAGACTGCATGCCTATAATCTCATCCCTAGGGAGCAAGAGACAGGAGGATCCCTGGGGCTCCTTTTCTGGCCAAATAGGTGAGCTCCAGGTCTCAAAACATAAGGTGGAAAATGATAGAGGAACTGGAGTGGACCTCTGGCCTACACACACACACACACACACATACACACACACACACACACAGAGTATATGAAAAGAACAGCAAGCACCTTGGGAGAACAGAGAAAAGGAAACACAGCAGGGACTCCACCATGGGGCAGTGGTAAAACCAGAAGAGCCTAAGAACAGCATCTGGAAACCCACAAGGAGGCAGAGAGGAGTTCTTAAAATGTATTAATGGATGTTTGTGTCCTCCTTCTACCACATGGGTCACAGGGATCACTCAGGAGAACATCGGGCTTGCTTGCAAGAGATGTTATCCACTGAGCCATCGAGATGGCTCTCAGAAATGAACTGTTGACCCACACCAGACAACCCAGATGTTGGAGAGTTTCTGTGTTCACTTAACAGCTAAAGTGATACTATCTGAGATTTCATTCGTAATTCTAAATTTCCATGATTTTAATGCTCTACACTCTTAATTGTGTTAACCAAGAAACATGTGTTGGAATATTCATTCATTATTTGTTGAATTTGCTTGAGTTTTATAAAACTATAACACAGTTTAAATGAGGAAAACTCCTGAAGCAATTTCTAAGAAGGAAAGATAAATAATCTGCATATTACTAGAGTCCAGTTACTTAACAAAAACAGCCAGGGAAGACTTTAAGAAGCAATTTAAATAGCTAAAGGCTATCAGATCCAAATGCCTGATACAATCCTGTCAGCTCTTGAGTTTAGGGCAATTATCTTTAGGGCAATCATCTCAACATTTTAAGCTTTCCTACAGGGAAATCCCACAATCAAACATAACTTGTTATAACAAATATTTTCATTTAAGCCGCGCGCGCGCGCGCGCGCGCGCGCGCGCGTGTGTGTGTGTGTGTGTGTGTGTGTGTGTGTGTATGCTGTGTGGTGTGTGTGACTGCTGCCCATGCTAGTGTCGGTTTCCTAAGCTCAGTGCTCAAAAGATCCTCCTGCCTCAGGCTCCCCTAAGAGCTAGGATGTGAGTCACAGCTTCCTGCCTTTTGTTAAAATCAGGGTGTTTTCTTTGGGGGGCGGTAGTATTTATATTATTCATCCACAGATTTAACAGAGCCTTAAATAAGAAACTTAGATAATAGCACTCAGCATTCAATTTGTGTAAAAGGTATAAATCATCAGAACCAGGGTTCCTGTTCATTTTCGTTCTCTCCCCCTCCACCCCTTTCTGATTTTGCAAAATAATTGCCATGCAAGACTGCTGCCTGTATCAACCACAGTAACCACATCAGCCCACCGAGTTAACATTCAGCAGGTGCAACAAGAAAGTAACACCTTCCTCTTTCCCTAAATCGAAAGGGCTCCTCTTTCGCCTAATTTGTTACTTTGGGGCAAACGATACTACAGCTGGCACGAACTTTCTCCTTGGTGGCAGAAGATGCTGGCTTCACATACCCCAGGGAAGAGCTGTGCTCCTGGGCCTAGCTTTGCTCCGCGGCGCTGGTGGCACTGGAGCATCTGTACGGAATTGATAGGTCCAGAGTCCCCACCAGTGGGCATCCCCCTCGCCTACGGACCCCGCCCCAGTCTGGGTCCAGCACCTATACCACCTGCTTGTGCCACCGACCCGAAGAAAACTCGGGTGCCCTGCAGCGAGAGGAGCGGTGGTGAGGACCCGGCGACTGGGGCTACAGCTAGGAGACCCTCCCCAGCCCTGCCCGCCCACAACTCGGCCCTCTAAGCCCACAGCCAAGGCAGGGCAAGCGAGGACCTGCGTCCTCTCTCCCAGGAGCCACCCAGCCTCCCTACGGCCGGGATTTGCACACAGCTCCGCGTCACTGACCTTCTCTGCAGGGTCTCCGCGCGCGAGGCTAAGCCGAATGATGCCCGCCTCGCACACACCGGTCTTTCCCAGCCCACGGCCCTTCGCCGTGCTCTAGTCCACAGCCTACTGCGCGCCCGCCTCCTGGTTGCCATGGTGACTGCCTCCGCCCCCCGACAGCCGCTAATTGGTCCGGCTCCGGATCGCGGAGGACGCCTATTGGTGAGTTGGTCCAGAGAAGCGCCTACGCGAAGGAGCTTCGGGAAGACCTAGCCAAGAGGGACGTGGCGCTCTCCGACGCCGATGAGGAGGCCGCGCCTCTTCCTTCGCTGGCTGTCCTGAACTAGCTTGTGGAGCAGGACTTAGGCGGTGAGGTGCTGCCCAGGGATCTCCCACAAAGTCTTAGGGATAGCCAGGCTCTTGGTCCCAGGCCTGTGCCTGCAGCGCCCAGACTGGTGAAGAAAAAAGTGCAGGCCTCTTGCGGGTCCGGAGCCTCTTTCTTGGAGGGACTCAGAATGATATTTAACCATACCCCACCGTCGTTATCTTGGGCCTTGAGTCACTGTGGCTTAACTGTATCCATCTCATTTTTATCTTATGCACATCTTCAGATACAGCTTTCTCTACTGTCTGCCCCGCGGAGCGGAGACATCTTCATCTCATTTTAACCATGGGGCTCCTAGATGTATGGGGTTGGAGGGTTAGAAAAGCCTTTAGAGTCTTGGGGCTGGTTTTGACGCTTGAGTGCCAGTTAATCACACCTTACTGATCTTTAATTTTTTCACCTAAAAAAAAAAAATTGTTCCTAGGTTGTGTATTACTGGTCTCCTTACTGCAACGAAAACTAACAAAAGCAATTAAAGAAAGAAGAGTTTATTTTGGCTCACAGTTTAGGAGTGTGCTTCAGTACGGCAACAGAAGCAGCTGGTCACAAGGCATCCCAGTCAGGAAGCAGAGAGAGAATGCTGAAGCTTGGCTCTCTGTCTCTGTCTGTGTGTGTGTATGTGTCTCTCTCTGTCTCCCAGTATGTGTGTTTGTCTCTTTGCCTCTGTCTCTGTCTCTCTTCCTCTCTCCCTGTGTGTGTCTGTCTCTCTGTCTGTCTCTGTCTCTCTCTAATGTAGTAGATGACCCTGCTGTCTACAGTTGGTTGAATCTACAAGTATAGAACCCACAGATACAGAGGAAGGCAAACTGCACTGTGAACAAGATGCAACATAGGTCAGTGGCTGCAAAGCACCATTAGGGACCAGACTTCCTCTCTTACAATACTCAACTTGCCTTTAACCCATCATTTGGGGCAAGGTATGAAAGCACTGTGCGTCCATTTCCTTATATGTAAAATGGGGACAGTAACACACGCACACACCACCCACTTACAGCATAGCCAATCAATAGAGAGGTGGCTGGCACATGGAAAGTAGTAACTGCCGTTCTTAGGCTGGTGACTGAACTAAGACTAAACTCAGCTCTAGATTTTAACTCTTAAACACCTCTCATCCATGTACTTAGACTAATATCCCAAAGTTAAGCTCCTCTTGTGTTTTAGGGGGACACTTGTCCATTTTTTGGTTTTTGGCTCTGCCTCCACTGAAGGCTTAATAGCAGAGACATATATAAGGAAATGAACAGGTTCAACATAATGACACTTGAAACAAAAACAAACAAAATCCTAGACTGTAAACACATTGAAGGCAGGAACTGCCTTGAACATTTTTATAAACTATTATCTAGCACAAAGACAAATACTGTCTGAACCAGGCACAAAAACTGGGTGTAGCTGTTCTAAGGGCAGAACTGAGAAGCTCTGGTGGTGCTATGTCTGGATGATTCATAGAAATCCAATGGAGATCAGCAAAACCTGGCAAGCGAGAAGATGAGGTTCACCCAGTGATGTAATAAAAGGAAGAAGATAATGGAGTGTGGCGACTGAGGTGGTGACACTTTTCTAGGGTGAAGGCAAGAAGACAAGAAAAACAGGATGAACAGTGGCCATGAGGATCAAAGCCTGGAGTGGTGGCTCAGGTCTTGAATCCAAGCACTTGAGAGACGGAGGCAGAAGAATCAATGTTAAGTTTGAGGCCAGCGTAGGCAAGAGTGTGAGACCCTGTCTCAAACTCTTACACTAAACAATGCTAAATACAAGCAAAGAAGAGCCATTTTTACAGTGAAAATGGATAAAGAGAAATGACAGCGGTAGAGATCTTCCCGGGTATGCTCAAGGCCCTGGTTCAATCTTCAGCACTGAAAGAAAGAAAGGGAGAGAGAAGGAAGAGGGGGAGGGAGAATCCTGAAGGCATCCTATTATCTGAGGAATTTAAGAAGAACTATTGCTTCTTGAATCGAGATGACTCAGAGGATAACCTCAGTTCCATCTCCAGGGCCTACATGGTGGAAGGAGAGAATTGAGTTGTCCTATGACTTCCATCCACATGTTCGCTGTGGCATGTGCTCCTCCCCACCCGATTCCCAGACACACACACACACACACACACAATGTAGTTTTAAGAAGAGAAATAAATGTTACTTAATAAGTAAAGCCTAAAACTTAGGTTTCCGCTGGGATGATGAATTTCCTGATAGGGAGAAGAATGAAAGAACACAGCACAAGTTGGAATCCATTCCCAACCCTGCCTCAAATGGTTGGCATTTGTGCCTGGTCTTGAGTTTCTTATCTGACTCTAGGCCTGGTGTGTGTTCTGGCAGAGTAGCCAATCAGTCCATCAGGTAACAGTAAGTCAACCTCTGAATGGAGAGGTAACATGAGCAAGAAGCCAATGTACCTGGATTAAAGGGTGGGGAAGGACTCAGGGTTTCTTTAAGGGACTGGACCCTGGGAGTTTGACCATGCTTTGTTTGTTTTATTTTTTTCTTTTTGTTTCTGTTACTCTTATTTGGGAGGGGGTTACAACGGTGGGGGACTGATTTGGGAAGACTTGGAAGTGTGATTGGGTACATGATGTGAAATTCCTAAATAATCAATAATCAATAAAAATATTATGTTGAGGGAAAAAAAACAGCTCCAGGTTGCTTCCTGCCTTGAGCAGTCCACCCCATTGTCTTTGGAACGTGCCCTTATTTAGCATTATTAACTAAACCCAACTCCATTCCTATTAGCTAATGTCACCCAGCAAGCTTCCAAGCAGTAGCGGTTCATGCTGCAGAGATAGTGAAGAGTAAATCAGAGGGTGCCTGGCACACTGTGCTACAGTGATGTGTTAAAAGATATTTCTGCACCTGTAACCTGAGGGTCATATGAGGTGCTGGAGAAGGTACTGGATAGATTTTATCCTCTCTGCTCACACACCCTCTGCTTGTTACCTAGGAAACCCTGGTTGATTATTGCCTTCATGGGATATCGCTCAACTTGATCTAGGCAATTTGATTCTTTGATTTCCAAGGAAACCTGGCTCAGCTAAGAAACTCAAAATGAATTTGTTAGAGGGCAGGCGAGAAGAAAAGGAAAACATCTGAGCAAACTGGCAGCTATGAGCCCTGCCCCATAGGGTAGTTCTTGGTTCCTCAGGAGAGAGGGTAACCGAAGGAGCATCTAGGTGGTTGGTTTTGTTTCTGATGTGTGCGTGCATGTGTAATATTTATGTACATATATTGTATATATTCTAATGTTTTGTGACGGGTTCTCTCTCTCTGTAGCTCTGGATGCTATGGAGTTCCATATGTAGACCAAACTGGCCTTGAACTAGTGGCAAACCTCCTGCCTCTGTCTCCTGACTGCTGAGATTACAGGCATGTGCCACCATGTCCCACCTATTCTGGGTTTTTTGGTTTTTGGTTTTTGGGGGGTTTTGTTGTTGTTGTTGTTGTTGTTTGTTTGGGTTTGGGTTTACAATGTTTCTCTGTTTAACAGCCCTGGCTTTATATACCAGATTGGCCTTGAACTCAGAGATCCACCTGCTTCTACCTATCCAAGTGCTAGGATTAAAGGTGTATATCACCACACCCAGCCTATTCTGACTTTTTTTTTTTTTTTGAGACAGGGTTTCTCTGTGTAGCTTTGGAGCCTGTCCTGGAACTCACTCTGTAGACCAGGCTGGCCTCGAACTCACAGAGATCCACCTGCCTCTGCCTCCCGAGTGCTGGGATTAAAGGCGTGTACCACCACTGCCCTTATTCTGACTTTTTTTTTTAATTATGTATACATTGTTTGCCTGCATGTATGCCTGCAGGCCAGAAGAGGGCGCCAGATCTCATTATAGATGGTTGTGAGCCACCATGTGGTTGCTGGGAATTGAACTCAGGACCTTTGGAAGAGCAGCCAGTGCACTTAACCGCTGAGCCATCTCTCCAGCCCCTATTCTGACTTTTTAATAACACAGTATGCCCCCTCTGTATTCTTCTTCCAGGATTCAACATGACATCAAATGATTAGTTTGTTGCAAAGGCAAGCTCTTTGTGTTCAGAAGATGGACGAAGAAGGTAGAGACTACTTATTACTCCAGACACGTTAAGTACTCAGAAACTAAAAAACTCAACAGCAAACTGTGGGAGCCAAGACTTACAAATTGTATTAAAGTCTAGTTCACAGATCAGCAACCTGTGACTATGGGACTAAATCACCCCACCGCCTGCTTTTGTAGATAATTTTGTTGGCATACAGCCATATTCAATAGCTACACATATTGTATACGTAGTATCTTTACACAGTATTTTTACATAGTGTCTCTGGTTATCATTGTATTGAAATGGCAGATCTGAGTAGATACTAAAAAAAACCTTTCAGTTCCCAAGACACAAATTATGAGCCAGGTGCAGTAGCATACCCCTACCTGCAATCCCAGCTGTTCAGGAGGCTGAGGCAGGAGGACTGCAAGTTTGAGACCTGCTTGGTCTTAAGCAAAATGATCTTAAGATAAAATGTAAAAACACCGAGGATATATTTTAGTGGGAGTGTGCTTTCCTAGCCTGTTCAGCATCCAGGGTCATAAAACAAGAAAATTATTACCACTTGACCCTTTACAGATAACAAATGAGTAAATCAAGGTCTAAGTAATTCATGCAGAATCCTATTTTCAGTATCCTTAGTGCAATAAGAAAAAGCTTCACCTTCAAGTCCTCTAATCCATTACTTCTCAGTCTTTCATGTACATACAAACCTCTTGATGTATTTAAAATTATTACTATTATTGTGATTTT